GTAGTGCCACAGAGCGCAAGGAGAGTGCCTTGTGGGTGAGGGAGAGAGGAAAGGCTGGCTAAAGCCCAGGAAATTCCTTGGCCATCCAGTGGTTAGCACTCCATGCTTCCGCTGCAGTGGGCCTGGGTTCCATTCCTGGTTGGGGAACTACGATCCCATAAGCTGAGCAGCACTGACCAAAAAAAAAAATGTCAAAAATCTCAAAAATTTCTGGCTTTGCTGGTGGTCCCAGTTACCAACATAGACATGAAACTAGGGTAGTTTTGGGGGGAAGATGAGTTCAGTTTGGGGCATACTGAATTTGAGGTTGGAAGAAGCTGGGAGTGTCCACTGAATAGCTAGACATGTGACCCTAAAGTTGAATCAGCACACAGTAGGTGTTTAAAGTCATACTTTCCCTTTACCTGATGCCTCTTTCCTCACTGCTCACCCTTACACCATTTCTTTGATATCACCTCCTCTCTGTCTCCTACTTTTTTGAATTTTAAAGCATTTTGGTATATTTCTTTCCAATAATTCTATGCTTTTGGAAAAATACAGTTGAAAACATATTGTATATATTCTTTTCATTTGCTGTTTTAATGTTACTGTTTTAACTATGATTTTTGATAACTGCTAGATATTTCTACCTTACAGATATACCAAACTTCACTTGGCCATTTTTCCATTGTTAGGCATCTAGGTGCTCCTGTGTTTCCAAGCAAATCTTTGTTCCTGTTGCTGATTATTTCCCTACACCAGGCTTCTAGAAGTGAGACTACAATGTTAAACATTTTCAGAGGAATAAGAAAACTAGTTTCATATTAAGGATTGAAAGTGATATGGCTGTTTTTTCATCAGTACAGTACTAACTTTTCACCAAAGTGGGGGGGCTTTTTGACTCATTCATCTTTTATATTTTATAAGTAGCATCCTCTTCCTTATATTTACAATTCTAATCATCTATTTGTTTGTAATGTTACACACTGTTCGGTTGTTGTTCAGTTGCTATGTCATGTCTGACTCTCTGCGACCTCATGGATTGCGGCATGCCAGTCTTCCTGGTTCTTCACTATCTCCCAGAGTTTGCTCAAATTCATGTCCATTGATTCAGTGGTGCTATCTAATCATCTCATCTTCTGCCACCCTCTTCTCCTTTAGCCTTCCAACTTTCCTAGCATCAGGGTCTTTTCCAATGAGTTAGCTTTTCTCGTCAGGTAGTCAAAGTATTGGAACTTTGGCTTCAGTATCAGTCCTTCCAATGAATATTCAAGGTTGATTTCCTTTAGGATTGACTGGTTTAATCTCTTTGCTCTCCAAGGGACTCTCAAGAGTCTTCTCTAGCATCATAGTTTGAAAGCATCAATTCTTTGGCATTCAGCCTTCTTTATGGTCCGGCTCACATCTGTACATGACTACTGGAAAAACCATAGCTTTGCCTAGATGGACCTTTGTTGGCAAAGTGATATTTCTGCTTTTGAATATGCTGTCTAGGTTTGTCATAGATTTCCTTCTAAGGAACGAGCATCTTTTAATTTCATGGCTGCAGTCACCATCCACAGTGATTTTGGAGCCCAGGAAAAGAAAACCTGTCACTGCTTCCACTTTTTCCCTTTCTGTTTGCCATGAAGTGACGGAACCAAAGGCCATGATCTTAGTTTTTTTTTTTAGTGTTGAGTTTCAAACCAGCTTTTTCACTGTCCTCTTTCACCCTTATCAAGAGGCTCTTTAGTTCCACTTCACTTTCTGCTATTAGAGTGGTATCACTTGCATATCTGAGGTTATTGATACTTCTCTGAGCAATCTTGATTCCAGCTTGTGATTGATCCAGTCTGGCATGGTGCATGATGTACTCTGCAAGTGAGTTAAATAAACAGGGAGACAATATACAGCCTTGAGGTACTCCTTTCCCAATTTGGAACCAGTCCAAATTGTTCCATGTCTGGTTCTAACTGTTGATTCTTGACCCACATACAGGTTTCTCGGGAGACAGATTAAGGTGGTCTGGTATTCCCATTGCTTTAAGAATTTTCCACAGTTTGTTGTGATCCACACAGTCAAAGGCTTTCACATAGTCACTATTCAGAGAGAACTATATAGATTTGATCCCTATATTCTAAAAGTTTATAATCTAAGAGAGAAATACCAGTGCAGGCATGCATGCTTAAGATTTACCAAGACTGTTAAAACTACAACATGGATGAAACTTCAATGAGTTTAGGGCAATCACATTTAAAGGTTCAGGACCGAATTAACATTTATTATATAGACTGAAGGGAGAAGAGATCAGTGGGGACCAGCTGGGACATCCAGTGTTCACCTGGACCAAACGTGTAGCCTGCTCATTCCTTCTAAAAGTCTCTATTATAACCTACTTCCTCCTCTCTTCTAGTTCATAATACCAAGCGGCTGCCCTCAGAAATGCACTGTAACCCCCTTCTTGGTTCTTTAATTCTTCCCCCTTTTCCCTCTTGACCCACCTTTCCCATGTCACTTTCCTGTCTCCCAGCCTCAGGTCTCAGACTAATCCTGCCCTTTATCATCAGAGGTGATGAGTGGCACTCCCGGATCTCCTGTCTCCCTGGAGTTGTGTTTGGAAAGCACAGGCCCTGACTGTGGCTAGCAGCCCTCCCAGACACCATCTGCTGCCTGTCTGTCATCATCAACTGCAGGTACTGTGTTCACGGGACCAGACCTTCGCCTACCACCCTCCACTGCAGGTATCCTATGATCGCCCGCCTCCTTGACATGAGAGAGCCCATTCTTGGTTCTAAGAACAAATCCTTGCTGGTCTGCCTCATTCCTGCCGAAGATAAAGATAACACTGATAGTAACAAAAAACATTTAGTGAATGTTTGAAGTGATCACGCTCAGACGTTCAGTCCTGTCTGACTCTTTGTGATCCCATAGACAGAAAAGCCTGCCATGGACTGAAGCCTGCCAGGTTTCTCTGTCCATGGGATTCTCCTGCAGGAATACTAGAGTAGGTTGCCATTTCCTCCTCCAGGGGGTCTCCCAGACCCAGGGATCAAATCTGTGTCTTCTGCATTTCCTGCATTGACAGGCTGATCTTTACCACTAGCGCCCCTTGGGAAACTCCAGTGAGTGCTTACTATTATTCATTTAATGGTTTTGGCCCTTCCATTCTTGGCCATGACAGGAGACAGGCTATAACTTAATCCTGAAGAGATCTGATGACACATGTGGATGAACATATTATCGTATTATCACGGACATGAAAGGTAATACTCCATTTACCCAGAACAGGCCCAAGGAGAGGGAAAAGCAAGACCCCTCCTTGTCTCACTGTCTGTGCCAAGTCCAGAGATGGTCCACAGATAAGGCGGGCGTCAGAAGCCGAGGTGTTGCTAATAAGAATATTCACTGAAAGAAACGCACTGGCTTCATTTTTGAGCAGATTCTCTTCCCGTGGAACAGCAAATCCTTTTACCTAGTCTTCTTGCTATTCCTGAGTCTAATCTATATCTGTTTTTACTGTGTTTCAGCTACGAGTGTAGTAGAAGTAAATCAGAAAGAACTTTTTTCTCCGCTATATTGGCTTCAAGTTAATATGAACCTATGGTCTGAAAAGGAGTTTTTTGATTATCTGGGTATGCGGTCATCCTTACTACTGACTAATAAGAGGTAATTATCATCAAATACTCATCCACTGAAGGGGAGTTACAAGTTGTGGCAGGTGTTTTGTGGATAATACTAATGCAATTTATTTTACAGTCTACTATCTCAGAATGATCAGCTAGTAAAACACAAATTATGGATTGGTACTTAACATTTTTTTGTTTGTCCATCCATGTTAGATTTAAACTTTTTTCAACTTTGTTTTATTAGTTATGTTTCTGTGCATGAATTACATAATCATGAATACACTGTGCTACGCTAACTACCACACAGGTCCTCTCTCAGTGCTTAAAGTAACCTCACGAGCCTGTGTGTGTGTGTGTGTGTGCACGCTTAGTCACTCAGTCGTGTCCAACTCTTTGCAACCCCATGGACTGTAGCCCACGAGGCTCCTCTGTTCATGGGATTCTCCAGGCAAGAACACTGGAGTGGGTTGCCATTCCCTTCTCCAGAGGATCTTCCCAACAAAGGGATTGAACCCGGGTCTCCTGCATTGCAGGCTGATTCTTTACCATCTGAGCCGCCAGGGAAGCCCCATAAGGCTGATACTGATATTATTCCCATTTTACTGATGAGGAAACTGAGGCTCAGACATTGAGCTCCAGAACAGTCCACTGTCTACCACTGTACTATCATGGCATGTTTCATTTTAATATATTTTATTATTTCACAGATTCAAGTTTATCATGACTTAAAACTTATCTCCTGAACATACCAACTATATTTAGGAAAAGTCTCACTAGGCACACCTCATAGATGTTTTTTATAATTTCATCATTGCAAAGAACTTTCCTAAAATCCTTCTGTCCTGCCTTATTACCATTGATCTCATAAATATATTATTAGATTCATCAATGGGGAAGTTTTGCTTTTGTGTTAAAATAATGACAAACTAAACTATTTAGAAAGGTAAACAATTATGGCTGGTATGAGCTCTAAATTCTTTGGAATTGGTCAGGAATTAGAATGCTCACATAAACATTAGTTGGACCGTTCTAAATCTTGGATTCTGTCTTTAAATTTGCTGCAAAACTAAAATCTTTCATCTTGTATCCTAATGTTTCCATTTCTGGTCAGGTATAGGGCAAAATTAGGAAGCAGAGAGATTTAGAAATGCCTTTTCCACCCCTCTCCCTGCCCACAACTAAAGTCCTATTTAGTTCAGTGTTCTGAGGAGCTGAGATGGGATTAAGACCCTACTACAGTGTCTCCTCCTGGAAGAGGGCATGGCAACCCACTCCAGTATTCTTGCCTGGAGAATCCCATGGACAGAGGAGCCTGGCAGGCTATATATAGCCCATAGCGTCGCAGAGTCAGACAGGACTGAAGCGACTTAGCACAGTGTCTTCTAATGAGAGCTCTTTCCATTCTGCATTTATCAGATGTTAATTATTCATATTGCATGATTGAGGATTTTGGAGTCAGAGATTCACCTGCAATATTTGGAATACCAGTGGAGGTCTACATCAACACAGAATTTATACAGCAGCTGGTACTAGTCAGAGCTAATGATGGAATTTCAGTTTAATAAAAAGACCCCCAACCGAGCATACCATCTTGAAAAAAGTATACTTATCAAACAGCTTTCAATCAGTTCAAGAGAGACACCTTAATTGGGAAGAGGAAGATTTGAGAGTAGTTTGTCATTGTGCCAAGTCCAGATCAATAACTTCATGTCTGTGCTTTGGTAGACGTAGCTTTTGCTCTGTTAAGTCACCGTATCTACATCCACTTTATTTGGAGAAGGAGATCTTTGTTTCATTTGACAATATTAAATGATACCTTCTTTTAATTCTCTCTGTATCTTCACAATGAACATAAGTAAAATTTAGACTTGTGATTATAAGGGTCAATGTTGTTTTTATTTGAAAACAAATTTTATATTTTTGTAATAGGAAAGCAGTGCCTGTGAGATATAAAAATTTTTCATTTTTGAAAATTTCATTGAAATAAAATTATATGAGTAAAATTAAATTATGGTGGTTTACCTAAAAGGAAGAATCTGCTGAACCATGATGATCTGGAGTCCATTAAAATTATCTTGGAGATAAATGTACAGAGTAACTTGCTAACAAGAAACAAAAAGAAAATGGGTTGACTTTTAGAAGGAAGGATTAGGAATACTGAAAAGGAATGTGACAGCCATTAAGCCTTAGTTTCCTTATTTATTAAAAGGAGAAACCAACACAAGATTGTAAACCAATTATCCTCCAATTAAAAATAAATTTTAAAAAAGGAGGTATTTGTTCCAACTAGTGGCTTTCAAGCTATTTGTAATGACTGGTCTTAATGGTACGTTAAGGGACACCGTGGACCAGCAGGGCAGGTGGAGAGGGCAGAGAGGGTGGTGGAGCAGGAGCCCAAGGTGGAGGTGGAAGCAGTTTGAGGAGCAGGGTCAGGAGTTCCTGTTCTCACAGCAACCAGGACAGAGCGTTTCTTTCTTTTTTTCCTTCCTTTTGCTTTTCCTCTCTCCTTCTCTGTCTTTCCTTTTCTCTCCCTTCCCTTAACACATAGAAATATTGAGTTTATGCAGACAATTTCTTTTCATAAAATAGGGTTCCACTTCTAAAATATAGCTTGCAAATCACTGAACTAGATAAGTCTAAGTCTTCTTCCTTCTATGAGTCCTTTCCTTCTAGGAATGCTTTGATTACTATTAGGATTTTAAGATCCAGAAACAAAATAGCAAGAGAAGGTGGAACATTTTTTTAGGACATACAACAAGTATCTATCTTGCAGGAATTGTAGTTCTGCTAAGATACTACAAAAGTTAGCAGAAATGGTATCTTTTCTGCTCTGTAGGCTGACCCCCTACAGAGATATGGGACTACTATGAATAGGTCTAGGTTTTTTTGTTTGTTTGTTTTGTTTTTTGTTTTTCAGAGCAACTGTGCAGAAAAGAACCAAGCTCACTTAGGCATTTAATCTACTAGATGATGTTTGGGGAGAATGATGGAATTATGGTCTAATTAAAAAAATCAGTTTCATGCATTTAGAGAATCATAAACTATAAAAGTCAAGGGGGATACTTTAAGATCATTTTTTTCATATATTCACTCATCAATTAAATCAGTTAATTTTTAACCAAATGTGTCAGCTACTATGCTGGGTGTTGGGGTACTAGTATATTGTCTCTATCTGTATAGAGATTTTGTCTTAGTGGAGAGGACCATTGATTAAACAAATAAACCTGAAAGAATATAACTACAAGTTATTATAAATGCTATTAAGTAAAAGAACAGGTTTCTCTGAGGTCATGTGTTAGCGACCACATGAGACACTAGGCTGCAGGGAGAGAAAGTGACTGGCCTCAAGTCACTGAGGAGCTGGCATTAGTCTGTCACATATTCTCTCTGTCTCACCAGTTTGGTTGTAGAAGCCTAGGCAAATAATCAGGGCCAAGTGATGGAAACTAGAAATCTATGAGTTTCTTTATTGGCATCTTCACTACTTTGAAGTGTTGGGCAACCTTGAGAGACATCAGATACCTGCATTAAGGATGAGAGCTTCCAATTTTTGAAAATTGTTTTTTAACAATTTTTAAAAATAATTGTTTTAGGGCATCTCTGCTTGCAGTATGGTTGACTAGAGGCTGAAAATGGTTTGCAGGAGTAACAACGTCCACAATTAAAGGAAAACAGTTGTAGTAAAATTTCTAGGCCACAACCAGGTTCACAGCTTCCCTGAGTCTACTTTTCTGTAAAACAAGTGGTTTTGTTTCTGTGGAAGATCCAGTCCAGATGTCTATCAATTTCTGCTACAAATCTTTGCCTTGGCTTATCAGTTAGAAGAAAACACAAGTGAAACCATCATTAATAAAATTATGAACAGACTTCCCTGGTGGTCCAGTGGTTAAGAATCTGCCTTGCAATGCAGGGGGTGAGGGTTTGATCCCTGGTTGGGGAACTAAGATCCCACTTGCCACAGAGCAACTAAGCCCATGTGCCACAACTACTAAGCCTGCACTCCTCAACTCGGGAGATCCTGCTTGATGCAACTAAGACCCAACACAGCCAAAAAGAAAAAAAAAGCCCTTAAATAAAAATGAGCCATTAATAAGCAATGGTTAGCTAACAGCAACTGTAATGAACTTTGGAGACTGAGCTAGGTGAGAACTTTTCTGATTGACTTCCCTCAATCTAAAAGCCTAAATCATAGTCAGTGCCATTAGTTTGGAATGTTTCATTTGTAATTATACCATCAAATTTTGTATTTTTATTATAACTAAAAATTATGTGTACATATACATTTGATCCCTAGGTCGGGAAGATCCCATGGAGGAGGGCATGGCAGCCCACTCCAGTATTCTTGCCTGGAGAATCCCATGGACAGAAGTGAAGTGTTAGTTGCTCAGTCGTGTCTGACTCTTTGCGACCCAGGCAAGAATACTGGAATGGGTTGCCATGCCCTTCTCCAGGGGATCTTCCTGACCCAGGAATCAAACCCAGGTCTCCCACTTTGCAGGCAGAATCTCTACCATTTGAGCTAGCTGGGAAGCCCTCCATGGACAAAGGAGCCTGGCAAAAGAGTTGGACATGACTGAAGTGACTTAGCATGCATGCATACATTATATGTAAATCTTTGCATTAATGAATGGGATTACAGCACAAATGTTTGGGTTTTATGCAGACTATTTTTTCTTTTTCCTTTTCATATCTCCTTCCTTCTCATCTCTTTTCCTGCTACCCTTACCTGTGACACAACCCTTGCTATCAAACTGGCTTACATCTTTGCATATTTTTAATCTATGATCATGTAATCCTGTGTAAGTATATATAGGTACACAGTAATATGTATATATATATACATTCCCATGAATGGGCTTCTAGGGGCCTTTTTTTTCTTCTTGAAAAATAGGATCGTATTATATACTCCTCTCACTGGGCAATGCCTCCAGAAGATGTCCCCAAGTCAACTGGTATACTGCTACTTCTACTACTTCTATAGCATAGATGGGCACTTATAGTGAATGAACATTTGATGGTTTCTTGAGCAGTAGAGTGAGCTCTAGGTATAAAGAAGATAAAACACTACAATGAAAGGAAAAGTGAGGTGCAGGCACCTAAGCCATTTTGTATCTTTTTGATAGAGCTGATTAGTGGAGGAAGAGACATTTCTCTTCCATTAAAAAAAAAAAAAAGATTTTCAGTATCTCAATAGCAATTTTCATCATCAGATCAGTTCCAGACCACATCGGATACTTAATTCTTTCAGCTCCCTCAGAGGTTGAGAATTTCAAAAATACCATTAGTTAGAAAATGAACTCAGGAAAACATTTGTGAAATCTCCTGTCATCTCAGAAAGAATCTTAATACAACAAGCTACTGAACTGTCATTAAAACTTATGAACTGAACCTCCCATCTTGTTCATTTTGGAAGGGGGATCTAACACAGAAATTGGGTTGGATAGAGAGGTCTAGAATCTAGACTATTCAGTGTTTAATTCCTATGTAGTTGCTCAAGCATTATCATATCCCTTAAAATTCCTCACATATTAATCACATTCATCAAATGTGCTGGTTCTACTTTCACTAAAAGAGAAGACATCTTCAGACCAGTACTACTTTAGAATCTGTTAACTGACCCACTTTTCAAAGGCAGAATCTCCTAGTAAAAATATTTCTCATTATATGTACAACCAATAAAATAAAACCAGCATGTACAATTTAATATAACCTTACTGCAGACTTCCACAATACTATCACTATTTTATTAATGTTTTAATTTAATTCAAAGCATTAGAAACAAAACTGAATATCAGATATTGCTCCGAAGTAATGACTGTGTCTTCTGAATTATCTGGGACTCAGAGTGGGTCTGAGAAGGGGAGCATCCTTGGATTTTTAATGGACACCTCTTTTCTGTTTGCTGTTCTTTTAAAGGTCCTGCAGAGTTGGTTGAGAAAGAAGGGAACGTGGAATATCTGATTTTAGATCATCCCAAACTTGTCTCATCAATAAAATGTCAACTTCAGGTCTGCTTATTTGTTGGACAGGATAGAGGTGGAACTTGAAAAAGGCCTGGAGTGACCTGTGGATTGAAGAGAAACCTCCCCAAATCAGAGATGAGGACTTTTTCACCAGCAGTTTTCAAACACAGACTTGAAAAATAATAAATTAACCTTTCATTTCAACACCTTGAAACCTTAGAAAATTGTGTGATCACTGATAAATCATTAAAATCACTTTTTTCTTCTTTGAACATAATAAAGACCATTTTTCTTAGACCTGTTATATACCTTCAAATGGAGTAAATACAATGAATAAACAAGCTACTTTATATTTTCAATCTAGTTATAGGGAAGGAATGTTTTTGGATCCTGGATGTTAGCAGTTTCCTTTAAAAAAAAAAAAAACCCAGGAAACCCTTTATAAATGAAAGAAATGTGTATAGTATGCAAATTCAAAGTGTGCTGTCCTCATTTACCCAGTGGAATTCAAAATAAGCCCCAACTTGTGAACATATTAAAACAGATTGAAATGGATATTAGTGGGATTTGTAAGGAGAAG